GGTTCTGCGAGGCACGGTCTGCAAGGAAGTCATCATGGCACGCGACTTGGACGACGCTGTGGCCGAAAGCCGGGCTTGCAAGCTTCCCACGTATTTGGACGGACTCATCCTGGCCACCCTGCGCCGGCGCGGCAAGAGGGAAGGGGGCTTGTCCCCGCTCATCGCCGCCCGCCTGCGGCTGGCGTGGAAAGGAGACTGGGGCGCCCTCTGGCGAGACGCGGCCGCCGCCGTCGGCCACGCGGCGCAGCCGGGAGGGAGGCAGAGGACCCTGACGGAGGAAGCGCGGTCCATTAACACGCTGGTCCACACTGGGTGCGCGACTAATCGCTCTGCGGAAGTCCAACGACAAGGTTCGCCGTGTGGCCTGCGGCTCCTTTCTACGACGGATAGCAGCACGGGCCGCGTGCCACGTGCTCCGAGACGGGCTACGAGACGGTTGCGGGATATGCCAGTTCGCGGTCGGGCGGAAAGCGGGCTGCGAAAAGGTGCGCAAAACCATCGCCGCCCTGACAGGTGCTGCTCCGACTCACGTAGTCATGGCGTTTGACGCTACCGACGCTTTCAACGCAGCCCCTCAGGAGAAGGTGCTCGAGGGGGTCGCCGCCCGCGCCCCCGGGCTGCTTAGCCCTGCCGCGAGCTGGCTCTGCCACCCCCACAACGCACTTCTGGTGGGGCGCAGGCGCTACTGCCAAAGAAGTAAAAGCCACCTGGGGCGTTGACCAAGGCTGCCCGCTCTCCCCAGCGTGCTTCGCCCTTGCCCTCGCGGGCCCGCTGGCGGCCATCGACGCCCGGCTACGCCGCTTGGCTCCAACAGCTCGCGTGCTCTCGTATCTCGACGACGTGATGGTGGTACTGCCCGCTTTGGTCGCCGAGCAGGGGTTAGACGTGGTCGTGGAAGGCCTAACTGCCGCTGGTCTCGCCCTCAACGAGAGCAAGACTGCCGCTTGGACGGCGGACCCACAGCGCCGCTCCCGCCGCGACTCGCTCCCTTCAAGAAACCGACCTTACGCTGCTCGAACGTGAAGACCCTGGGCTCGATCGTGAAGACCCGCTCTCGCGCCTCGTCGTGCACGGCCGTGCGGGCGGCGACGAGGCCGTGCAGGCCGCTGACCGCATAGTGAATAGACTCCGGGATCTTCGTTCGGCTGGCTTGGGCGCCCGCGAAAGTCTCCTCTTGCTGCGGACGTGCTGCAACGGGTGCGTCGCCCACCTCTTGCGGGCCAACTGCGAGGGCGGCGGCTGGACTGCAAGAGTGGGCGAGGCCATCGTCGGGGGGGTAGAAGACCTCCTCGGGTGCTCGCTGCGCGCCGACCAAAAGACGCAGTGCTTCCTGCGACTCGCGCACGGAGGCCTGGGACTGACCTCGGCGGCGGAGACGGCTGCGGCAGCTTACCTTGGAAGCTGGGCTCTGTCTTTGAAAAGTGTGCGGGCGTGCCTGGGCGTGGTCTCTTGGCATAGTTCTACTGCTCGGTGCCCTGCGGTGACTGCCTCCATCAGTCGGGCAGAGGCGCATTTGCTGACGCAGGGGGGCGGAACCTTCGAGGCGACGGACTGGGCCAGTTGTTTCGAAAACCCCCTCGCAGGTCGGCAGGGGCACTGGGCCGGGCTGCTGCGGGTGCGGGCGCGCGACCAGCTGCTACAGACACTGGGGGAAGACGACCGCGTCGACCTCCGCTCGGCCGGAGGGCCAGGGGCCGGGGGGCACTTCGACATCCCAGTCGCCAGGGGCGGGGAGACGCCAGCGAAGATCCCAGACGGTCACTTCCGAATGGCCCTCGCAGACCGCCTGCGTTGCGACCTCTGCGCTCCTGGACCGCAGTGCCGGCCCCAGAAGCAGGGTGGCGCAGTCTGTGGCGCGCTGCTGGACAGGCGGGGAAGACGCGCGCTGAAGTGCCCTTGCGGCCCTTACAGAAAGGGCAAGCACGACGCGATGCGCGATTGCTGCGCGGCCTACCACCGCAAGGTCACAGGCTACGTTGCGACCGCGGAGCAGCTTGTTGCAGCCTGGCTCCGGACCAACACGAGGACTATGGAGCGGGAGGAAGCCGAGCTGGATGTTGCCACCCGCGACGCGGTGACGGGCGCCGCGGTCTGCCTGGGCGTGAGCATTGCTTGCGCTCGCAGCGAGGAGCAGTCGCGCCAGCGGGCAAGCTCCGGCCGGGATGGCCTTGCCGCCCAGACCCGCGAGGACGACGAGCGACGGAGGTGCCCACCTCACGGCGGCGACCTTGTCCCAGTCGTCTTCGGGACCGGCGGGCGCCCAGGTGACGCGGCAGCGGCCTACGTGCGGTCCTTGGCGCACGGCTTGGAGGGGGCGGCGCGCGCCGAGGTGCTACGGTATGCCTGGCAGCAACTCAGCTGCCTGCTCCAGGTTGGCAGCGCCGAGGCGTTGCTGGCTGCCATAGGCACTTGATGCCTGATCCGCATGTAGCCGCGCTGCGGGCAGCGGCCACTGCCGACGACGTCCTATTTTGACGACTCGACCGCTACCGACATCGATCTCTGACGATCTCCTGCAGTAGCCAGACGGCGACCTCTGCTGGCGAGCACCACCAACGATGATGACCATTGCCGACGACGGTGTCATGCGACCCCCTGAAGCGACGACGACCGACCGCCCCCCGTCTTCCCCTTTTCCCTTGCCCCTTCCCTCTCTCTTCGGGCTGGCCGCCCTCGCCGCCCAGAAGCGGCCTCCCCTGGCTCACCTTCTCCTCCCTCGGCGGGTGCTCCTCTCCCGCAGACGAGGCTGTCGCCAAAGGCACCTGCCCGGGGCGTCTAAATTGATTTGCGTCGTTTGCACTTATTTATAATATATATATATATATAGCAGTTGGACCCACCTCGGTTTAGCACCTTGGCCCGCCGCGGGCTGTCCCTTCCCGGGCCCCGTTGGCCTCGAGTGCTGCTGGGAGCTTTCTTTTTTTTGCCCCCCCCTCAGGGAGGAGGAGGAAAAGGAAAAGGAGGAGGAGGAGGAGGAGGCGGAGGAGGAGAAGGAGGAGGGGCAGGAGGAGGAGGAGGGGGGAAATGACTAGGAGCAGGACGCGGCGAGCAGGGCCTGGCGCCTGGGAGTCCTGGACTTTTGGGGGGCTGTTTCCTGGTGCCGGGTCCTGGGAGGAGGTCTTCGGAGGGAGGTCCCAGGGACCTAGGGATTCTGGGTCCTGGGGTGTCCCGTGGCCGAGTGTCCACGAGGTCAGTTCGGTTCTGGAGGGGGGGACAGAGGAAAGAGGAGCGATGACGATGGAGGGAGTACGGGGGGGGAGTTCAGGGCGTGATAGAATGCCTCGGCTTATGGCCCGTCTAAGGCTTTGTGTGGGCCCCGGGACCGCCAGGGGGGGAGTCGTATCTGACGCGGGACCCCCCCGGGACCCCCCCCGGGACTCACCCCAGGACTCCCCCCGGCGCCCCCGCGGCAGGGAAGGGATCAACGGGAAGGGGCTTCCCTTCGATTCAGTGACAACGTTGAGAGAGGCCCTGGAAAAGCGGGGGGGGTGCGGCGACGGGCCCAGGGAAAATGGGGAAACGGGAGGCGGGGAGACGGGCCCAGGCAAATGGGGGAGCGCAGGGACAGGAGACGACTGGCCCAGGGAAAGGGTGGGCGCAGGGACAGGAGACGACGGAGACGACGACGAACGAACGACGGGAACGGACAAGCCCCTCACACACGCCGACACAGGGTCGGCGGATTTGTGTCTTTTTATTTGTGTGTCCCAGGGCCCCTTCAGAAAGGGCCACCAGGACGCCCGCCTGTTGCCATGCAGCGACGCTCCACTCAGTGCCTCGCGGCATGGTGGCGGAGTGAACAGCATGTAAAGAATGTCCCTGACCAGGGTTGGCCAGAGGGGTCGGCCAGGAGGGTTGGCCGGGCTTGGCCTGGGTACGTAGTCTGCCAGAGGGTTGGCTAGGATTGGTTGGAGGGTTGGCCAGGGCAGGCATAGATACTTCGATGTTTCCATCACGTGCAGCGCTTAAGCAGTTCGTCGTTGCTCTACTCCTGCACCACCTACCCCTTCTCCTGTCCTTCTGGCAGGATCCATTTCCATCCGATTCAGCCGACTCGATCTTAATTCTGGTCGGCTCGATCTGGTTCTACTGCGGTATTCCGACGATCCGATGCGGCCGGATATTTGCATGGCGCTGTTGTGCATCCTGACTCGGCCCATCCGTTTGGATCCCGTTCTCGTGCCGATGCAGACAAATCCGACGCACCTTCGGGCCCGATCCTAGTTCTCGATTCGATGCTGACCGTTGCTGTCCTTTTTTGATTCGCTCGCACAAGGTAAGGCAGCACAGTGTCAGGATATCGGACTACTAGACTCTGGGGGGGCGGAAGGATAATCTTTCGACGGAACCTGCCACGGTTTGTGCTTGACGGTCACGTTCTGGAGTGGACGAACAGAATTCCCCTCCCTGGCGCGCGGGGCGAGCCATGGACGGCGCCGGAGGCGCCGCGGGGGCGGGATCCAGCGCCGTTCCAAGACGTCCGAGTGGACCTCCGAACTGTTCTGTTGATGCAACTTGGGAGTCGGGAGGGCTTCCGATGGGCCCCCCCTCCTTCTCCGACACCCCCCCGCCTTCTCGGAAGGCCGCCCCCCTCGCGCCGCCCGCCTGCGCGCGCCGCCGAGCAGGGGCTGGCCTCCAGCGGCGGGCCAGGACCATCCGGGCTCTCCGCGGGCGCCATCCGGCGAGGCGCAGCTGCCGGAAAGCACCACGAGGCTGGGAAAGCCAAGGACCGATGGCGCATAGCACGATTGGGGTCCTCTCTGGAGTTCCAGCCTGGTATAGCTAGGACCCCGGGTAAGGGGACCCGGTTATGGTAGTAGAGCCCCAGGGCCCCTGAATTGGCCAGAACCACTGAACCAGGTCTGCCGTAGCTTGTGGTTTCTCGGGTGACGGCAGTTCCGGTTAGTGGAACGGGGCGGGGGGGGGGGGGGCGTGCCCCAGTACACATCATTAAACCAGGTCCCACTAAACCCAGTTCTGCCTGCGCCCGATCCAGGTCCGCCGTGTGACACGCGCTGGCGGATAGCGAAGCAGCAAGGCAATGGGAAGGGACGGGCGGGAGGGGTAGGATGTCAGATTATGGCGCGAGCGCACCTCACATTAGCTTGTCCATTGCCCCTCCCCCCGTCTCGGCCGCGCGCAGAGGGGGGCAGGGGGAGGGGGCAAGACCTCTCAGAAGGAGGCTGCTTCTTTGAAGGCGCGGGCCTTTATCTATAAATGAAAGGCCGGCCCCTTTTCCGGAGCAGCCTCCTTCCAAGAAACCTTGGTCGCCGTTTTCTTATTCGAAACGCCGAATGTGAAAACGCTCTGTGCGCGCTGCCAACCGTCCTCGATCCTCCTCGATCCTCCTCCTCCTCCTCGATCCTCCTCCTCCTCTGCCTCCTCCTCCTCCTCGATTCTCCTCCTCGATTCTCCTCCTCCTCCTCGATCCTCCTCGGTCCTCCTCGATCCTCCTCGATCCTCCTCGATCCTCCTCGATCCTCCTCTGAGCTCCGCCAGCCGCCCCTCTGCCCCCGCGCCCCGCCGCCTTGCCGGCGTTCGCTCCTGCCGCCGCGCTCCCTAGGAGGGCTACGCGGCCCCACCGCCGCGCTCTTCTTTGAGGGGGGCCGCCCCCCGGGACGCTCCTTCGGCGCTCCGCTCCGCTCTTCGACGAAGAAATAACGTCATAAACATAAACTTTTGGCGCTCCGCGCGGATTTCTCGGACCCGCGCTGGGGCCCCCTGGCGGCGCCTCCGGCGCCGCCCCTGGCGCGCTCCGCGCGCCAGGGAGGGGGACTCTGGCCCGGATCCAAGAAATTCGCGCGGAGCGCCAGCAGTCTATGTTCATGGGTTCTTTGTTCTTTCTTCTTCTAGCTCTGCTCCTGGCAAGGCTTCGGGCTGCGCACAGGCAGCCCCCCCAGGCAGTCCCAGCTGGCCTCAAGGGTCACCAGTCCCGGCTGGCCTCAGTAGCCCCTCCCCCCCGAGAGCCCTCCGAGGAGCCTCCTGGGGGCCCTCCCCGACGGCACAGAGAGCTCCCCGGGGGAGGCGCGAGGACTTCGAGAAGCCCCGCCGCCCCCGAGAAGGCCCCTCTCGCTTCCCCCCCGGGCTCGCCGCCGACTGCCTTCCGCTCCGCTCCTCGCGCCTCACGCGGTACCCGCTGGGCACCTCGACGGTCCACGGGCCCAGCTTCTGGCGGCTCCCCCGCGCGTCGGCTTCGGCCCGCGGGGGCGGTCCGCCGGCGGCGCCTGGTCGCGCGGACTCGGGGCCCGTGCCGATGCTCAGGTCCGCTCCACCTGGACCCAGACCCCTGTCAGGAGAGAAACAAAAAGACACAGGCGCGCATACACGCTGAGGTTCAGGAGCATATGGGCAACACAAGGGAGGTGGAGGGGAAGGCGCAAGTTCAGAAGATACGGTCGGACCGAGGTGTAAGATCGAGGTCGGTTCCGGGCGGGTACCCTGAGGGTCTTCGTGCTTGTTGGATGTTCTTGTGTATCTTCGGGGAGGGTACCCTCGAATGCTCTTCTGTTCGGCGGAGGGTTTCATGTTCTTGAAGGATGTTATTATGTCTTAGGTCCGACCGTAGTGGACCATACGGGGAATCCTGGGAGCTGTGCTCATTTCGTGGTGCCTCCCCGGGGCCCTTCTCTTGGAGACGCCCAATACCGATGCTCCGCTCCGCTCCCTTCCTCGTTGCTCCTCCTCGATGCTCCTCCTCGATCCTCTTCCTCGATGCTCCTCCTCTTTCTCGATCCTCCTCCTCCTCGATCCTCCTCGATCCTCCTCGATCCTCCTCGATCCTCCTCTTCCTCCTCCTCGATCCTCCTCGATCCTCCTCGCTCCTCCTCGATCCTCCTTGATCCTCCTCCTCCTCCTCCTCCTCGATCCTCCTCCTCATCGATCCTCCTCGTCCTCGATCCTCCTCGATCCTCCTCGATCCTCCTCCTCCTCCTCCTCCTCCTCCTCCTCCTCCTCCTCCTCCTCCTCTGGGCCCCAGACCTCTGGACGCACCCCCCCCCTCCCTGGCGGTCGCGCCCCCCTCCAGAGGCCGTGCTCGGGGCGCACGGCTTCCTGGACGCGGTCTGGGGGGCGGAGGATCGAGGAGGATAGAGGAAGATCGAGGGGGGGAAGGAAGATGATCGAGGCGGAGGAGGAAGAGGAGGAGGATGAGGAGGAAGAGGTGGAGGAGGCGGAGGAGGAGGAGGAGGATGGATGGATGGATGGATGGATGGATGGATGGATGGATGGATGGATGGATGGATGGATGGATGGATGATGATGATGATGATGATGATGATGATGATGATGATGATGATGATGATTGTGCTGATGATGCTGCTGCTGATGATGATGATGATGAGGATGAGGATGATGATGCTGATGATGATGATTATTATGAATATTATGCTGCTGCTGATGAGTAGATTGAGGATGATGCGGACGATCATGATTCTGATGATGCTGATGATGATGATGCTAATGATGATGCTGCTGCTGACGATGCTGATGATGATGATGCTGACGACGATGCTGATGATGCTGCCGATGATGATGATGCTGCTGCTGATGATGACGATTCTGACGATGATGATGATGTTGCTGATGATGATGCTGATGCTGATGATGATGATGCTGCTGATGATGATGATGAGGATGACGAGGATGATGATGCTGCTGATGATTATGATGGTGATTCTGATGATGCTGATGATGCTTACGATGATGATGATTCTGAAGATTATGCTGCTGCTGATGACGATGCTTGTGATGATGATCATGATGCTGACGATGATGATGTTGATGCTGCTGATAATGATGCTAATGATGATGCTGCTGACGAGGATGATGCCGATGATGATAATGCTGACGCCGATGATGATGCTGCTGATGATGAATCTGATTCTTATGCCGATGATGATGCTGACGATGATAATGATGATGCTGATGATGATGATGCTGATTATGATGATGATGATGCTGCTGATGATGATGATGATGATGATGAGGATGATGCTGCTGATGATTGTGCTGATGATGCTGCTGCTGATGATGAGGATGATGATGCTGATGAGGATGATGAGGCTGATGATGATGATGATGATGCTGATGTTGATGATGATGGCGATTCTGATGATGATGATGATGCTGATGCTGATACTGATGATGCTGATGATGATGATTATTCTGAAAACTATGCAGCTGATACTGCTGACTATGCTGATGACGATGATGATGATGCTGACGATGACGATGCTGATGATGCTGATGATGATGCTGCTGCTGATGATGCTGATGCTGATGATGATGATGATGACGACGATGAAGATGCTGATGACGATGATGATGATGAAGATGCTGATGCTGCTGATGCTGATGATGCTGATGCTGACGATGATGCTGCTGATGCGGATGATGCTGATGATGCGGTTGTTGCTGCTGATGATGATGTTGATGATGCTGCGACTGCTGCTGATGACGAGTATGCTGATTATGATGATGATGGTCATGTTGCTGATGATGATAATGATGATGATGCTGATGATGATGATGCTGATGGTGATAATGACGATGCTGCTGATGATGATGATGATGATGATGATGATGGTGATTGTGATGATAATGATGATGATGATGATGATGATGATGATGATGATGATGATGATGATGATGATGATGATGATGATGGTGGTGGTGGTGGTTTGTGGTGATGACGTTGATGATGGTGGTGATGATGATGACGATGATGACGATGCTGCTGCTGTTGATGAGGATGCTGATGCTGATGATGATGCTGATGCTGATGATGATGATGAGGAGGAGGATGATGATGCTGATGCTGATGATGATGATGAGGAGGAGGAGGAGGAGGAGGAGGAAGGAGGAGGAGGAGGCGGAGGAGGAGATAGAGTTTGGAGGAGGAAGGAGGAGGAGTTGGAGGAGGAGGAGGAGGAGGAGGAGGAGGAGGGAAGACGAAGGATGGAGGAGGACGGAGGGATGAGGGAGGATGGCAGAGGCAGGAGGAAGGAGGAAGGAGGACGGAGGAAGGAGGATGGAGGACGGAGGACGGAGGAAGGAGGGCGGAGGACGGAAGGAAGGAAACACAAAGGGAAGGGAGGACGGAGGACGTCAGGAGGAGGAGGACGAGGAGGAGGAGGAGGGGGAGGAAGCGGAGGAGGAGGAAGCGAAGGCGAAGGCGGAGGAGGAGGAGGAGGAGGAGGAGGAGGAGGAGGACTACTACTACTACTACTACTACTACTACTACTACTACTACTACTACTACTACTACTACTGCTGCTGCTGCTACTACTACTACTACTACTAC